ATGGTTCTCCCATTCCTCTTTGGACACTCTAGCCTCTAAGATGTTCTTATTTTCACCCAAATTGGCATTTACCTGTTTCCAGAATAATGTTGTATCTTTAGAATCTATGGCAGTCAGGAGTGAGTGCCAGAGTCATTTGATATAACATCTTCTTGTGCTTTAGGAGAAGTTTATATTCCTTTTTCTTCCTAAGCAGTTCCATAATTACCCATGGGGAACAACTATTTTTTGCTCTCCTTGCCAAATTTCCAATCATACAATGTGCTGTTCTGCATTCTATATCAAACCAGCAGCTATGTTGTTGGTGAACTGAACTTAATTTAGAGGTGTCCTGCCTAAATTCTGGTTTTAAGTTGTCAACTATTTGTTGATAGTGGCTCAGGATAACTGGAGAACTTGAATCAGCATTAATCAGTTTAAGTTGAATATCTGCCAAATTGTTTGAGTGAAGTATTGCAGTGATTTTATCGGCTAAATTAACAGACCATTTAATTTTTTTTTTTGGCCTGAAAATTTTAGTGCAGGCATGTCATCATTATGTATTTTCAACATTCCACTATCTTCAGAGCCAGTATATATTGGAATGTGATAGGTTGATGATCACTACAGCCTCCATGTTTTGAAATTTTCCTATTTTGGCAGAGGGGATACGTACATAGTCAATTGTTGTTCCATTTGTTGATAAGTATGTAAAATTACCAGGAGAATCTCTGGGGCAAGAACCTTTCAAAATTTGAAAATTCCATTTGTAAAGTAAATTTAGAAGTTTAAGCCCTGCCAGGTTTACTTTAGAGTCCTTCGAAGTATAAGGGAAAGTAAGGGAAAGTTCATCAATGTCAAGTTTCAACTGTTTTGTGTTTATCATCCCCTATTCTTGCATTAAAATCACCCACTGTGATAATAGCATCTAGTGGGGAATTTATCCTCTAGAGCATCAATTGTATTTTCAAGTGTAGCCCAGTGGTCCTGCTTTTAAGATTTAGCACCTCTAGGAGGCATATAAACATTTAACGTTATTAGGGCAATCTTATTTATCATAAATCTGACTATAAGAAAAGAGGGATTACAGTCCAGATTTATTTGCACTGCCTCCAGATTCCACTTTCTATTTAACAAAATAGCCAAACTCCCAAAAGAGTAGCCCATAGAACATAATTTCCTTGCTGCAATGACCCATGATCTGAAACCAGCTAAATAAATTGTATCAGATTGGTTTTCTGGGATCCAAGTTTCTTGCAAACATACTATATCATATAATTTTAGTAACTTTATGGAATCCTTGTCAGTAGTTTGAGCCTTCTATTCTGCTACATTCCACACTAGGATGGGTAAGCTACTTACAGATCCCTGACTTAGTTGTCATTTACAAAACCAAGAGGACATGCCTCATTTATAATTTGTGCATTATTAGTATCAGTTTGATTTAACCCGTAGGCAGGTTACTACCAGTAATTTTGTATCTTAGGGTAGGATTAGTCATTGGATCTGGGCATGGTGTTATTTCATCTGTGATATTTAGTCTGACCACATTTGTTTATTAAATCCAAGGGATAATTTGGATCTCCTGCTTCGTAGATACTATTGTAATTGGATCTTGGAAAAATGGATGCAGGGGTCCTAGATCTCTATGGCAAGAGGCTATATTATTTGCTGTATATTGTTTTCATATAGGGGGTTAATCTCCGCAATTACCTGAACCTGTTTCCCTGTTGAGATTGTAAGATCTATATTATCTTTCTGAAGAGGATGTTCATTATGCTTTTGGTTGCATTGTCCCATGTTACAGGTCTTACCTTTGTTCTCCTCCCCTTCTTCCCCTTCTTTTACATTTGCCACTGTTTCATGAATTGATCCCTCCTTTTCAGAGGTTTTAAAGTTAGGAGCGAATGGTGACTGTACCTATTTATTAATCAACTCTTCTCTTAACCAGGACAATTTAACTAAGACACAATTTTGTTCCATAGGGGGCTTGGAAATAAACATGTTAATTCTAAGGTGTATTGTAAAATAACTGCCTCTTTTTGCTAAAATTGTTTTCTGCTTGTTTCAAGTTCCTGTGCCTTCTGTCCTGGTACATTCAATACAGATATCTTCAATTCTGAGAAAGATATTTTTCCAGGATACTTAGACCTGTACTATGGAAGATAAGGGTTATGGAAACTATATGTCCCCCTCTTCTGGAATCAGTATCTGTTTATGTATACTTTCAAGGATGTTCTCATTTAGCCTATTAACTGAATGTTTGGGGATTTTTGTCTTTTAGAATTCCAATCTGATTCATCAGAAAGTGTCTCCTCCTTCTGAACGGCAAGGATCTCCAATCCTTTCATTCATTATCTTAGAACAATTTAATGCCATTCGCTTAGTTCAGAGTATTCATCAGTCTCTTGCTGCTCTCAGTAAAGTAATTCGAGGAACCTCACTTTTGAGCTCAGAAGTTCAAAAATTAGCCAGTGCTTTATTAAACCAGAAGGTAAGATTTTTCAATTCTTTGTGTACAAGACACATCATTCTTGAATAAATAAAATAAACTTGAACCACAGCTAACTGAGGAAGTATTAATATTAATCACAGCTAATTGAGGAAGTATTCTATATTAATCACAGAGGTAAAAAAGCCTTCCTGTCCAGTGTGGAAATGCAGACAAGATGTGTGAATCACAACACTTAGCAACAACCCTAATGATTATTCATTTTTTTCAGTGCCCTTTAACATGGCAGAGCAAATGGGAAGGTCCAGAAGATCCTTTACAGTATCTGAGAGCTGTTGTAGCACGAGCACATGCTATTCAGGTAGTATTCCATTGCAGCATAATATATTCTTTTAGTTCAGCATGTTCATAATCTATATACTACTAAAACTCTTGTGTCTGTTTGATTGTTTGTAACCTTCAATTAGGTGAAATGATTCATCATAGGGCAGCAATTTTTCAACCAAGGCACCTCAAAATTGGGCTAATTTACAGAATGCATCCAAAATCCAGGACCCATTACTCCCATGGGATTGAAATTTGGGAAAGTTGTTGCCACTTCACTCTCACTGCCGCGCTGTAGCGGTGAGCTGTGGTCAGGTGATCCTCCTTTCCAGCACTCCCTGACAGCTTCCCACAAGTCAATGGAGAAGCTGGCAGGAAGTCTAAACTCAATTGTCAGAGGGTGCGTGGGTGGGGGAGATTAGGGAGGGAGAGAGGGAGGGAGGGAGGGAGGAAGATTTCTGATTCTCCCTGCCAGCTTCCCATAAGGAAAATCAATGGGGAACCTGGCAGGAAGTTGGAAGTCCAGAAGTCACTCCTGCTCCCACTGCTTTTTTGCCCGCTCATGGTCATTCTGTTTCTCTGTTTAGGTAAGGAAATACATCTGAGTTGTCTAGTAGGTAACAAAATTCACATATACAATATCCTTATTGCTTTTCATCTTGCACCACTTCATTTATAAAGCCATGCTGTAGAAGGAATTGGCTCTTTTAAAACATCATACAGAATGGTATTTTCCCTGGGGTGCAAGATTTTATACTTGAATATTAATTCTTTTGATATATTATGAATAATAGTGTAAAATGCATTTAGGCTTCATATGGGATCAGTGAGATCAGGCACTTTTGTAGAAAAAGTGAGCTGGAAAATTTGAAAGCCTTCTGATCGTGGTGCAGGCCTGATCTAGTCTGTTTATAGAAGGTGTCATTGGGGAACTATCCATAGAAAATAAAAGAGACATACAGAGTAACAAACAATACCAGCAGCCACAGCACATAATTCTATGCCTTTTCTTCTATTTTTTTTTTAATATTTCTGGCCCTGGATATACAGTGGATATTCATAAAAAGGAAACAAGTGCAAATGGGAGCACACTTCTGGAGTTATTGTTCATGTATTTGCCCTATGTTTGGAAAGAGGCACTAGTAACAAATCAATATATACTCCTTTCTCTTGGGTGCTGCACTACTATGATTCTATACATGTATTGAATATTATGTCAAATGTGGCTGACTCTGATCCTTCAAGAGGAAAGTGCTCATGAGCGTTTGGCTGCTGATGGCATTGTTTGGAGTAGAGTGCTAGGTATCTGTTTGGGGGATACAGTTCCCAGCTATAAATGGGAGGAGGATTGTTTTTCTTATAAAGTTTATTCTTTTTTTTAAAAAAAACACAAAACTTCAGAGACAAAAGGGGATAGAGGGAGATAAGAAAGATATTTGCAGCAGATTGATTTGTGCAATAAATTGTCCATTCTTTTCTTATCCTTGATGTACAGAGGATGTTGGACAGTTGTGGGGATACAGTTTGAAGATTACTAAGAAGAGGCAAATGTTAGCCGTATACTGTTTATCTATGTATTCAGAGGCAACTATGTAAAGTGCCCCATTTTGCAGAACCTCTTTTCTCTACTGTTTTCTATCATCAGATCACTCTTATATGATCTAAGTTTACTCAACATGGGGCTGGAGAGATAATTTCATGCCACATTGCCTCCCATTTGATGGTCTTTCTCTCATGGATTATGTTGTGCTGTCACTGTGTACAAAATTAACTTGAATCATAGGAATCAATTGCTGTGTGTATAGTTGATATTAACAGCTTATTTAGTCTCTCTTTGGTTATCATATGTTTCCTGGGAAGAAAGGAGTGTACCTTCCCAGTGGCCCCAGTCACCTACCATTGAATAAAGATAGAGTGGGTTATGTCTCTTGCTCATTTTAACGATTTATAGCAGTGGAACTGCACCAGCAATGCAAATACACTAGCATGGAGCTGGATTGGCACTTCTATAATGTTAAATTGGTAGATCTTCTCTAGAATGTATGTATCTGAGATTTGATGGCATAATAAGGTTTCTGACTGATCCTAAATCCCTTCCAACAGTGAGTCTAGGGGATAGCAACTCTTTAAAAAATCTAAAGTGAACTAGAGAATATGCCATGTGATGCGATGTGCATTAAAAATGTCTTACAGTTATCAACATGGATTGCTAATATATTTCATATAACAGTATTGTGGCTATTGTGCTTAGATTACAGATGGCTAGGCCAATATATCTTTAACAATATAGTAATGCTTCATAATACATTCAGCAACATTAAGAAAACAAAAATAATTTCCTGATTTATCTTCTGCTACTGACTTTAAAATTGATTATATCAGTTGCACAATTGTGTCAATTTTAAATATACCTTTGCTTAATTTATGAATAATTAGCAGGCTTTTGATATTTCCTTTCAGCATCCTTGTAAAAAAGACTAAGGCATTAGCAAATCTCTTGATGATACCTCTGTCATGATATTTTGCCTTGCACAATTTTCCCAATCTACCATATATTTTTATTGAATATTTCATAGGTAATTAAGTTCTAGGAAGTCATCAGACCCATATATTTTCTTCAGGACTTTTATAGATTTTTTTAAAAGATAAATTATATCTGGAATATATGTATAGTTTGTATAGAAATACAAATTCTAACAATCTGTTCAAAGTTTCACAAAGTCAAATAACATTTGCCATGCTTACTGAAAAAAATGGTAACAGTTACTCGTTTTCAAAACCATAAGTGAAGGTAGTTGTTTAAAAACAATGTTTTTAATAAATAGCTTGATAGAGTCTCTGAAATCTGATTTAAAGGCCTATTAACAGCACGTCCCTGGACAAATATTGCAGTTAAAAGGTTATTATTGCCTGCTCCCAAATTCATTCACATAATAAACTCCATACAATTATCTGTAGCTGATGGATATTGCATTAGGAAGTTCTATAATGAAGAGTATTTTAATTTTATTCTTTCATGTAAAATTGCTTTACCCTTGGGAACACACAATGAGATGAGAAATGCACTAGCAAATTAGCATTTCAGGCTGTCATTGCTAAGGATTATTAGATATATTAGACCACTATATGGACATGAAAATGTATTAAACCTTAGAGAAGTTGTGTGACATTAGTACTTTGTTTGTATTAAACATTCTGATACTTGATATATCGCTACAACACTTGCACTATTGTCTTCAGGTAGTCCTCACTTAATGACAGTACTTAAACTATATGGTCATAAAGTGCAGCGTCACATGACCACATTGCTTAGCAACAGCAATTCCAGCAGTCCCTGTTGCCATCGTTAAGTGAGGATCACAGGTCATTAAGTGAAGGCCTTCCCATGACTTCCTGCTGCAAAGTCAGTCGGGAAGCTGGCAGGAAGTCGCAAGTCCTGGGCATCTCACAAATAGGCCAGTGGCTGCTGCATCATGAGCATGGCCAGACTGGGGGTGGCTGCTGCCTGATACAGGAGGGTGCGCAGGTGACTGCTGCCAGTGGACAGGCATGCACTATGGAGTGAGGATGTGGAGGGTGCTACAGGCAGGTACAAGGTCCCTGGGATCTTGTACTATGTAGCTGAGTTCCTTGGGAGAAAAAGTGGTGGGAGTGACTTACAGAAATGACTTGTGACCTTCCCTGCTGGCTTCCCCATTGACTTTGCTTGTGGGAAGCTGGCAAGGAAGGTTGCAAATGGTGATCATGTGACTGTTGGATGCTGTAATTATAAGTGCAAGCCAGTTGCTAAGCACCCAGATTGCGATCTCATGACTGCGGGGGTGCTGGGAAGGCTGGAACTTCAAGAACCAGTTGTAAATACCACTCGTTCAGTGCCATTGTAACTTAAAATAGTCACTGAATGAGTGGTCATTAACTGAGGACTACCTGAATTTTTTATTCCAGTACTTCGTTTGGAGAATCCTGTCCCTTGATGGTTAAAGATAACATTCTGATGTCATGGGATAGTAGGAGCTTCCCATCTTGTCCCTTCCTGCCTCTTCAACAGGAAGCACTTTTTAAAAGAATTTCTGAGACATTTTGAAAATAGTTTTGTACTATATTCCTTTTTCTTGCTTTAATTGTAAATTGCACACTCCATCCATCTAATTAGGGAAATTGTTTGTTTAAGAGGGAAACAGGAGGAAGCCTATCTTACTGACAGCTAGGCTCTGCTACAATGGTTGCTATAGCTTCGTACAGGCCACTGTACTGAGGCCCTTTCCCCTCAGCAGCAGGAACACATGTACCACCCCCACAGAAAGAAAGAGAGAGAGAGAGAGCTCCAACAGAAAGAAAAGCAGCAGTGGCAATTTGTCAGTAATTGCAGTGTCTCTTTGCATGTAGAAAAACCTTATAGAGACTTCTGCTCTCATTTTGAATTCAAACAGTTAATACAGCACCACATAAAGCAAAGGTCTCATTTATGAAATGAACTTTCTGGAAAGATATGAAAATGCTCCTGGAGATGCTGGATATTCCAGTTCTAATTTCCTCAATTTTTTTATACCCTCTGTTTCATTTTATTCTTCCCTACCTTCTTCATTCCCTTCCATCACCAGCTTGTAACCATCACACCAAACTTCCTATTACTACATTGCATCCTTCCCTTCACGTCCTTGCAGAAAAAATTATTTTACACTAGCAAGCACCATGGCTTTGTCTGAATTGTTTTCAATCATCAGCATTCACCTCTCTTGCACAAATCTGTAATACAAGGGCTTCCATTGAGGCTGTAATGTTTCATGGATACACAGTGATATTGTGGCTGAAGTTGTATGAACTGTACGAATGTACATACCAGTACATTACATGTGTGTGTTGTTATGTGTCAGAAGAGGCTAACTTTCTCCTTCATCCCAATGCCTTTGAATTATATACAGTTATATCATAAAATAGATTATTATCACTGGCCTTGCAAAGACTGGGGGCTGCCATCTTTTTGGGTCTAATATTTTTCATTCAGAAATCTCATTTGAAGCTCCATTACCTTTGAGGCTTTCTTGGATGGAGAACTGGCACTGCTATCTTATATGATGCATTGAATGAAATCCCAGAGGCACTGAGTGTATTGGAGAAGGCCTTATAGAAACTAAACCAACAATGTATTACTACCATAAATTTAAACATTTCACAGAAATAAATAGCAATAATATACAAGACATTTGGAATAGAGAACTGGAGTATCCATACTGCCCAACCAACAGCTTCAGATTCTAGGGTGTAGAAAATTACAGAGATGACCTTGGAAAAGGAATGCAACTACTGACAAAACATAATTTAAGTCCGGGAAAAGAAGAGAATTTTAGACAGAATCTTAAACTCGCTCTACTTTAACTCTCTCTCTGGTATAAGAGAGGAGGGAAAACACAGTGAGGCTCAAGATTGATGTCAACCCTTCATGGTAGAACAGATCAGAAACAGATTCCATAAGAAATACTGGAATCCTACTTTACTGATACAGGTGATAGTAACAGAATCTTTAAAGCCTGACTTTCTCTTAAATTCAGGTTTTGCTAACTATTGCATTCCTTTTCAAGATCATCTCTGTGATTTTCTATACTTTTATACAAAGTTAATAAAATTATATTGTCACATATAAAATATATCAATATGTAATACCTTTTGTAAAATGTTACTTGCAACAATTTTAAAGTTCAATAAAACTATTTTAGATACATAGAATGATGTTTGGACTGAATACATGCATCTTTTGCACCTGATTACTTTGCCTTCTGAGTCAGGGAAAAGGCCTATATAGTAAGCCAAATTTCTTTCGGTTCTTAAGATACTTTAAAAAGTGGTGCAGTTTATTGCTTCAGAAATTAAGTTAACCCCTGTGCTCAGCTAAATATTTTCCCTTAAATTTAATCATCCAATAATGTGATACTAAAATTGAGCTATTAGAAGTAGATAGATAGATAGATAGATAGATAGATAGATAGATAGATAGATAGGGTTTTAAAATATTAGCCTGCAATCCAACTCAGACTTTATTAAACAAACAAACGAATTGCAAAACAGTTACTTGAGATTTGAAAACAAAATGCAGTTGCCAACCGTTGCAATCTCTTAGAATGTTATTGAATATAATTGCTTGCCCGTAAGTGTCTGGAAGACCTGAATTCAATGTTTGTTTGAATACGCTGGTAAAATGAATCTATTAAGTCCAAATTACAAATGACTCTAATGACTACTTTGACACTGAACAATTTACTTCATGCTATCTTTCTAGTGGAAGAACTGCAATTACTGCCATAGTATAACAGGAACTGTTAAATCATTGAAAGAATCATGCAGCTATGACCAACCTCACTAGTGTAAATAGAATGGGGGGGGGGACACACTCAAATCATTCTTAATTATCTGGGAGGAACATTTGTAATCTGTGTTGTGACAAATTTAAAGGGCATTTGATTAAATTGCTATGTCTCAGGAAAAAAAACAGCAATATATGGGGATACTGTGATAGAACAACAAATTACAGTTCATTTAGTGATATTATCACTTCAGTGGCCTTTCTCACCATGGTTCAGTATGATGGCAGCAATGTTTTTAATAAGAGTATTTTTATTAATTTATCATAGCCTCTTTTTCCAATTTTGTCATTTGCAACAGACATCCAACACTAGAAAGAGATTTGCAGAATGAGTGAGACTTGCAGATTTTCTGGTGTTATTAGGCTAAAAGGTTCTACCTGAAATCAAATGTGACAAGGAATATTTAAATAGAAGTGACATGTTTGCCTTCATCTGGAAAAATGAACTTTTTTTAGCAGGGAATAATATGCTTGTCTCAATATAAATAGTGTCATACAAACTTAAGAAAGAAATAGTTAGAATGTATGACTGATTGGAAAATTATCTGGTTTTCAGCAAAACTATTTTAAAGGAAGACAGTAAATTGTTGGAAAAGAAGCCACTTGAAACTTCTGAGGACTTTTTTTATTTTCCATTATGTTCTTATGACATACAATGTGTGTCTATAGTATACATATAGCTGAATTTACTCATTATCCTTAATTTCATACATAAAATTTTAGTGAGCTATTTGCTTTATGTCATATAGTGTCATGTGCATTATGTAGTCAAATGATCATTATTTATAAAGTTGAATATACAATTGCATGCAGTAAGACTTACGCAGAGGCAGCCACAGTAAAGCAGTATCCATTTAAGAACAGCTGAATATATATTTATGTATTTAACTAAGAAATTATGTATATGCCCAATGCAGATAAGTCCAGGTGGTCATTTTAAATTTGTGAGCAACTTACAGTTCTGACTAGCTGGCTTATGTTCCATACAGTATGTCAAATCCATGTGTTTTTTTTCTATAAAGCTGTGTGTGTTGACATGCATACTGGCATGTGTTTGACTGGTATTTATCCGGTATGTAGATATTCCATCATGACATGAGGCAGAAGGCTCTTATGTATGATACATTTCCTTTCTGATATTTCCAGATTGGGATTTATGAGTAAAAGGTGTCTGTCCCCTCAAATATCACCAGTGTATAAGATATTTTTTTTTTTGAGCTGCAAGTTGCCATATTGACAAAAACAAAACAAAGAAAGCTTAGCAACACTGTGCATCATGTTCCTCAGTATCATTTTTTGTCACATTCTTGACTTGCAAGGTAATTTATCAAATCACTTTTGAAATATGTTGTCTCTAAGGCCACAGTCCTATGTGTCTTTCCACACTAAATTCCACTGAATTCATTAGAAAAAGTGTATCTAAGGGTATGCTGGATAGGCACCTGAATCTGTTAAGTTAGCTAGATTATAGCATTAATATACAATGCTGTTATCTTTCTAGAATTGGGTGAGTAAAGCAGAAAAGCAGACCTTACTTTCAGATACTCTTGACCTCTCAGAACTCTTCCGTCCAGATACATTTTTGAATGCCTTAAGGCAAGAGACTGCAAGGTAGGTGAATTGGTTGTTGTTGCATGTCATTTATGAATCTCTTAGTACTGCTGATTCATTTTATTATTATTTTTCCTCTCATTTTCCCACCTTCAGTGTCCAAATGAAGACCATACTATAGAATTGTCTTCTGTAGGAAATCCAGTTGGTCTTCTCTCATGCCTTCTATCCTTTTGTAAAGAACATTTTTGGTGGCAAAGCTTTTCATCTGCCTCCATAAAAAATGTGTATTGCTGCTAATGCTGTTTGCTTTTACTATCTGCTCTAATCTGTTCCACTGATTTATCTTAACATTATTTGATAGTTTCTGTTTTAAATCTATTGAGCGCTCACTAGTGGGGGAAAAAAATAGTCATTTCCTAAAATAAATCAGGTCTACTTAACTAGTTAACCTGATGACAAATATGATGCTTTACCATCACTGTCTTATCTTTCTCTGGCTTTCTGAGATTACAAAAATTATATCTGTGTGTGAGATGCATGTGGGAACAATAGACTAAGAAAAGGTATCATGCTCCATTAGACCACAACCAAATGCTAATGGGCTACATTTTACATGTTAGGAAAGAAGTTATGCAGGTCTGCAGCTCAGCATTCATTCCCAATAACATGGTGGTGTTTCTAGAAGTAGATTTAGTGTCACAAAGTATTGTGTTCAAACAGAATTCTTTATTGTAATCATTGGGGGGGGGGAACTGTTAAGGAAAAAAATGCAAAAATTTACCAGTAAGAATTCCATCATTATTGACATGAGCACTGTTGTGTTAAAAAAATGTGGGTTCAATATTCATTATCATAAGGACCTACTGTATTTATCTAATGTCATAAAGAAATGTGTACAGATATTTAGGGGCTTTAAACGTGTAGCAGGTATTGTTTTCTTTGATTTAAAAATAGCTTTTTTGGAAGAAAGTGATTTAAAGTGATGAAACATTGTAAAAAGAACACTAATCTAGTACTGATCTATTAGGTATTGACCACAGCATTGTAAAATCAAAAAACTGAAATAGAGACAGGCGCAAAGACAGATGATAAAATTTATATGGAAAAGACATTAAATTTCATAGGATAACTTTGAGTAATTAAAAATGTTTAGGATTGTTAGATATGCAAGTAGTTCCTGGCCATTGAAGAGCAAATTATTATTTATTAGTAATAAATTAAAATGGAAACTTATAGAGAGTTTAGTGCCTCTGGCTTCAGTGCCTGTGGCCACCGTTTCCAAAGCAACAGTTGTTCTGATGCAACATAAATCAGGCTTCTACTTTCTCTGCTAGAAGATCCTGATTTCTAACATTTAGAGCAAAAATAAAAGAACTGAGAATAGCTTCCAGAGAATCATTAAGAGAATGATTTAGGTGATGCCAAATATAAGAAACACTCTTAGCGGAATGTAAGAGCAACCATTTGGCTTGGAGGTTAAAAGGTTGTCTTAAACATGCAAATATAATTTAGCTGTTCAAATTAAAAAGGTCACTCTAGAAAATAACTTCTACTTATTTGGAAAACAGTGTCACATTCTTACTTAGCATAAAATAATATTGAAGACAATGCAGCATCTTATTTTCATTGTCCCAAATTTTGCATTATTTTATGGAATGCTGCATTTACTTTTAGCAGTGGGGGGTGGGGGTTAATTGTTTTAGCAAATCTGATTCACTTAATCAGCAGATGTGTCTAATCTTTTAATGTATGAAGATTTCAAGTGAAATAAGCAATTCATACTTCCATTTTATTTTTCTGTTCCAGAGTTATGAGCTGTTCTGTGGATAGTCTAAAATTTACAGCATCCTGGAAAGGTCAGATAAGAGAAGCAAAACTCCAAGTTCAGGTACTCAACCCATTGAAATTATACCTGCTGAACCTTCTGTGAGCTAGTACTTCTATAAGAGAAAAGATAACCAAATACTTATTCTTTTGTTTCATTGAATGCATAGCTGACCTCATTGCAACCTCAAAGACAATCTAACAGAATATTAACTTGTTCTTTCCTATTCTATCCCACCCTACTACTCTTCCCTGAGAATCAAGAATCTCCTAAAATAAAGTTGTCATGTACACCTTTTGAAGACAAATGGTCAATGGTTTAGTGAAGGAATCCTCTGTAACATATCACAAACATCTTTGTTTTTTCCAAGTCACACTATGCTTTTTAAAAAAATGTCTGACCAAGGAAATGACTGGAGAGTGGGGAGTTTGCTAAAAAGTGAGCAACTCCCCTTAGCAACTTTTTCAGGTTTGGTAGCAGGGATAAAGTTATTTAAAAGGTGTTTAAAGAGAGGAATTTTTTCTCTTTATCTCTGGCTGGTAATAAGAGAGGAGAAATTGATGAAGCTTGCACTTTATTGTACAACTATTTAATTTGTCCTGCTGAAAACAGTGAACAAATAGATCAAAATAGATTTGGCCTACATTTTGCAAATCAGTTCTTCAGTTAAAAATGCAGGCAAAAATATGTGTGCCCTGGACATATATTAAGAAAAGGTGCACATAAGAATATGTGCATATTCTTGTGCATATATTAGGAAAATATGCACAAGAATATGCACATATTTGGAGAAAATGTGTTAATTGCACACTGATATGGAAATAGGAAACTACAAACTTGAAAGTTGAATTGATAGATTTGTCCATTCCTAGAGTTCACAAGGAACATTACTTCATATATTAGCAGGAAGATATTAGAAGAATCAAATTCATAAAAATAATCTAGCAGCTGAAAAAGAAGAAATGTATTTCACTTCATTGAAGATTGAACCTTAGGTACCAAAAAAAGCTTGTAAAAGGTTTGCAGAAATATAGAAGTTAGTGTTTCAGTCATTTAGATTTTAAATACAACATTACTGTTTGACCTCTAAAGGGCCACTGTCGTTTCTGGAAGAAAATTTGAAATGCATGTGCATATTAAAGTAGGCACACTGAACCAAGTTTACAACTTGGCCCAGAGATATTATCATCCCTGAAATGGTTGATTAATTCAACCAATAGCCTCAAGACCTGATTATGAGAACAGTTTCTTCCTGAAATGGCAGTGATGAATTTTTGATTCAGAATCAATTTGTATATAATTAAATCTTGTTTAATGACATTTAGAATTGCTTGTAGAGAAACTGTTACCTGACAATCTCCATGTGGAAAAGCACTGACTGATTTATTAACATAAGCTCATGCCTCCTGTGATATCTTAAGCCATTTGAAAATTGAGGAAAAAATGCTTTGAAGAATATTTTGAAAATATTATGTATTCAGGGTTTAGGGACCAAGTAGAAAGAAATAGAATCTGGACACTCTATTTGGTCAAGCTTTCATAAAATATTCTGCTTAGAAACAATGTTTAATTGTGGATTTAAATATACATAATATTTAAAACCTGGATCTGTGCATCCTAAGAAAAAACATGTGAGGGCCTAGTCTGTGTGTGCGTGTGTGTGTGTGTATTATAATATATATCACATTTGTTTGAAGTCTTATATACATGATTTAAATTATTTAATAAGAGCTGCATTCCTACTTATAATATAGCAATAGTTTATTCTTTCTATAGTACCATGGTGATAATTCAGTAATCAAGTACTGTCTAAGTTATGGAAATAAATTGCTAGATAGTAATTAAATTATAGGATGTATTCTTTTCTCCTTCTTTTGTTACAACTGATTAGATAGCAGCATGGGTCAGCATCTGTATTCACTTCTGTTATTCCATGTTGATATCTCCCATTAGCCCAGGAAAATCTGCCCATCACTTTTCCCAGCAAAAGGCAGAAGACAAATAACATATTAAGGTTCGAGTTAAAGCCAAAATAACAATGAATTTGCCGCTACAATTGCGAGAAAAAAATTAAAAAGCTGATGTTCAGAATGTGTGTTTGGGATTAGTGCAGATGTTGTAATCAGTGTTATCATTAAATCTGCAGAGCGTTTTCACTAAAACTAGAAGTAAAGCAATTTGCTTTGAAATATGTGGCTGTTGAGATTAGTTACTAAAATCAAGGTTTCAAAACATGTTTCTCATTGTACTATTATCCCAACTGAAGAAATAAAATGGGCAGTATTTCTCGTAAGGCTTTGCTTTTTCATGGAGTTAAAAATCCCTTTATTTAGCCTCTTTGTACTTGCTTTTGACAAAAAAACTGAAGGAAAAACTTCACTGACCTACACAAACTATTCTTTGAAAGGTAATGTCAGACTTTTCCATAGGATGCCATATCTGTTCTAGATTTATTTCTTCTCTTTCTCAGGCATTGTTAATATTGTAAATGTTTATGTGAATCTTACTGCTCTGTTCTGTAACTCTAATGTCTTGGCACCTGCTGCTGACTTAAGTATTGATGTAACTAGTACATTTCTCTACCGTAATAAAAAATACAATTGCAAACTATAGGAAATGTGTTAAAAAGCATGGTTTTCAAACAACAGCCTCCTTGCTTCTTCTGTAATACCTTTTGTAGACATTGTTGAGTCCTTGGGGTTCTCTGAGCTTGGCTGTTTTCTTACAGACATTTCATTAGCCGGCTTCTTCAGTGCTAGAATGGAATGGGGTTTGCTCTCTGTTTATATACAGTGGCATGCCCTGCCAGTTTGGGTGTGGGTGTGGGTTTTGTTTTGTTTTATTTTTTTTCCTCTGATAGTTAACTACCAGAGGGGGAAAAAATAAAACCCCG